GCTCACCGGCCGGCTCTGCGGAGGAGTGGGGAGAGCCTGCTGGGAGCACCGCTTGTGGGCAAGTGGCCAACTCCATTGCAAAGAGCCAGCGGTGCAGCTGGGGCTGGTATTTCCCTGCCAGTGGTGTTCGAGGGGCCCGATCAGGTGGAGTGGCGATGGCGCCCGTAAGGGCAGATAGCATTGAAAGTCCGGCGTGGAGTTCTCGCTGCTGCTGCGATGGTGCATGCTGGCTTGCATTGCCCTGCGTTGCTGCCCCCTCCTCTTCTCTGGTCCCGTCCTCCAGTGCTAGGGCTGCGGGGCTGTCTGTGTGCTCTAAAGTTTACCCTCACAAAAATTACTGAAGTAAATGTTTTTTTCAGATGCATCCCTTGAGCAAAGTTGGAGTGGGAGTGACACCCGGTGCACAGGGTATAGATGTCCTGGACACATCCGGGAGTCAGTTGTAGGTTAGCAAGTAAGAGTACTTGATGTGTAAAATAAACACGCTCCTTCTGCGTGCCTCTAACAAGCTGTGTGTGGAAGAGGCAGAGTGGTCAGTGGTGGTAAACCCACTGGGTGCATCTCTCAAGGGTGAGTGGGAACACTGAATAGAGAGAGTTGCAGAAAAATGTATTAATTCTACCAGAAGTACAGTAGGAAAACGGTCTTATTTCTCTGCTGTCTTGACAATTGCTTTTCTCTTTTTCTTGTCTGTCCTTCCCTTTGCATCTGCCCTCCTTTTTTTTTTTTTTTTTTTTTTATTTTTCCTTCTAGTGGGGAAATATTACCTTTACTTGTTAATCCTGTCTGTAGCAAAGCAATCACTGAAGCAAGGAGAATTACTGTGTGATCTGGTTCTTACACGCTGCCTACGTGCTCTTCTGTGCTCTGCATCTCATAGAAAGAAAGAGGAGCGCTGAGCCCTGCTACTGCTGCACTGGTAATGTCAAACTTCTTCCTTTCAGCGCAACGTGTTTCCGTCACAAGTCCGTTGTGTCTCCACCGTGCTGTTCCTGCGTGCCTGAATGCCTCAGAGTAGGACTTGGCCGAAGTCAGGGGGATGATGTTTGTAAAATGTCCAGTGTGTAACAGGAGCCAGTGGAAAATACATCTTATGCTTCACCCTCCACACCCTGCCCCCAGCAAAACCCAAACCCGATGGCATGGCGTAGCAGTTGTAGGATCTTTCAGATAAATCTGAGATGAGGACACGTGGCTGGGTGCACTTCTTACAGCACCCGTTTGATGCTGGGCGAGCTTGACTTCATCAAATGAGAAGGCAGCAGCGAATTTGTGGTGTCTCCCTCAGTCCCGCTTGCTCCCGCCATTACCCATGTGCTCACCGTTGCCTTAAGCCATTGCCACCTGGGCACTCAGGTCTAGAAATGAGTTTTCTCACTGCAGCTCAATGCCCATGCAGCCAGATTGAAGTTTGGGCAAGGGGAGAATTAGCAAATGCCCTGAAAACCGTGCAGTTGTTCAACAGTTTTCCACTGGCCCCTGGCGTTCCCTGCAATGTCCTCAGTAGCAATTTCCCAGAGCGTGTGTGTGTGCATGTGAGTGCGGAGTGGTTGGGGTGTCGCACTTATTCATGTTGTTTTGCAGGGGGTATCAGGACCCCCCGGGTATGCGGGCAAAGGCGGGAGGGGCGCTTGGCTCCCGCTTACCCTCGCAATGGTGGGGGAGGCGAGTTTCCACTGTGGCTGCTCTCTCCTGCTCCCCAATGTAATGGTGCTGAGGCCTCAAAACACCCCCTGACAGAGAAACAGCAAAGTGTCTCCTGGTGTCTTTGTGTGGCCTGGGAGATCTGTTTCTACCTGCTCAAGTCCGCTGGAGCGTGGACTTTCACATGGACATTGTGCATGTGGTTCAGGCTGTCTTGGGGGATCCCTGACGTGGCTGGCAACCTCCCACTGGAGGTGATGGCTCTCTCCTAGCCAGCCAGAAACACGTATCCTCACTGTTACCTCCCAGACACCCGGCGAGTTTAGGATCCAGGTGAGAGAGATGCAGCCACGGGTCGTCTGCACTGCTGTCCTGTCTGCAGGAGGAGTCACAGAGTTCCCATGGAATAAAATTGGGACAGATGGCTTCTTTCTGATTTGCAAGCCCTTTAGAATCACAGAATGTTTTGGGTTGGAAGGGACCTTTAGCTTGAATGACAGTTCCAAATACCTCCATTTTATCTGACTGGCACAGAAAAAAGGTCGCATCCTGTGGTAGGTCTGGCTGAGCAAACCAGATTCAGCAAAGGTGAGGGATGGGAAGTAAAAAAGCCTGCATGTTCTTTTGCTTGGGCTGATCATCTCCAGGTGTGAGAAGGAGTCAGCGTTGTTGTCAACTGTCCCCCTTCAGCCAGTCTCTCTTGGACCAGGGAATGGGGATGGACTTGGATGTGCTGGGAGAGACATAGGGAGTAAGATCAGGAGCCAGAAGCAGGTGCTGGGCACCAGCACTGAACTCAGGCACGGGTTAAGTTTCAGGATAAGAGAACATAGGGAGAAAATTGTCAGGAAAAACAAATAGCAAAAATGTGCTTGGACTACATCTTTTCTGGTTGAAAGCCTAGGAAATAAGCATGGCAGCTATGTCTGGAGCTTGGTGGCATTGTCAAAGCAGCAGTCCCCTGTGCTCTGCCTAGCTCTTCAGGATGATGCTCCTCTGTCCCAGCAAGTTCAAACTGATCCATTTCCTTGTGGCAAATAACAGGGAGCCTCCATGGGATGAGGAGGTGCCAAGCAGAGGTGAGGGCTGGACATTCCTTCAATTCTGCTTTATCTGCTCTCTTGAGGGTCTCCTGCGGTACTGTGCCCCGCACTGACCTGGAAGGGACAGTAGCACAGAAAAGAGATTTCCCAACTTGGTTTTTTTTTTTTTTTCTTTCAAAAAGTTTGGGATCAGTCAAAGATGGAAGCCTGAAACACGTTTCTGAGAGATCTGAATCTCAGATACTGCAAGCACGCCAGTGCTTCCACATTGCCTTAGGTAAAGAAACAGAGCTTTCTGCAAAAAGCAAAACCTTCTGTCAGTCATTTTTTGCTCCGATACATGCTGTAGAGCCCTGCATACCTCCTGGGACAGAAAAACAGCCTCCTGCTCTCAGAGGAATTACAATTGGTAACAGCATTGCAAGGTTTGGTGCGTGAGCTACCTGCTCACTGTAAAGTTACTAAAAATCGGCTTGGAGAGGTGTTTTTGTTCTCTTTGTGATTTCCTCCGCCACCCAAGCCTTTTGGATCCCACACTGTGACGCTGGGTGTCCATTTGAGGGGAGAGTGGTGGTGCCCATGTGAAGTATTTGCCGTGCGTCTGGTCTCTCTTCTCCTGTGGGCTCTGGCGTGGGCTCTGCCGGGGGTGGTGGGTCAGGCAGACAGAGGATTCCGGGGGTCTTTCAGGGAGAGGTTTAGAAGTGCAGCTCCTCATAGCGTCGTTGATCCCTAAGTGTCACCTGGAGGAGTTAAAAGCTACCCGAAGGTGTGGGGTAATTAGAGCTGAGCCTCTGTAATAAAATGTGCAAAGTGCCTTGAAATTTCCTTATGAAAAGAGCAGCCAAAGGGTGTGGAATGAGGACGGATCTCCCAGACTGGACCCAGCCGGTGCTTTCAGGTGTGAGCACATCGCATTGTGCACCAGCACTGGGAAAAATCCTCCTTGGGACGACAGAGCCAGGCCTGGGACTGGTGCGGTGGGAGCTGAGCAGCACTGGGCAGCCCCCTTTGCCGGGGGAGAAAACCCCAGCCGCTCCCTCTCCCCAGCCTCTTTGTTGGACTTGCCTTCATTTTCTCCACTCAAATTTTCACTGCTTTTGCTTATGCATGATGGTGATCATCTTCCCACCACCTTAGTTATTGCATGAACCCTTTTGTTTTGGGTGAGGATGCTGAGAATTTGCTCTGATCCTCCTCCACAAAAGCTCACTCCTCCCTGTGAAGTCATTTATGCCCCAGGCAGGTGATGAATGCTTTTGAAAACCTTGGTTTGACACTCACATGTTAAAACCTTTATTTGAAAGATACTTGTGGCTGTTTCAAGAACATGTGTTGGCTCTCTAGCCATTAACCAGTCTGGATTAAACAGTTTCCAAACTGATTATTTATTAACCAGGCAAAGCCATTCGTGAGGAGGTGGTATTTTAAGCTGCTGCTCCTTGGGCACAGTGTTTTATCTGTCCTTGATTTGTGTCCCATACCGGGTGTGGGTGTTGAGGGGATGGCTTGCATGGCAGGGGAGTCCTTTGCCTCCAAGGGCGTGGAAGGAGAGAGGTGGGATGTGGCAGAAGAGAAAGGATTTGGCAGCCTTGGTTTCCAGGCTGGCAAAATACTTCAGCCTCCGTCAGTGATGCCCTGCGGGTTCCCTTCCGCCTGCTCTGTTTCCCTGCACAGGGTTTGGGTTTGAAGCTGCTGCAAAGTTGGGTCTTGGATGGGAAATCCTGACTCTCAAGCCACCAGTATTCTTGGGTTTGTGGGTATGATCCTGTTGTTTCTTTGAAAGTACTCGAGCAACTTGCGAGCCCGTACTTGTGCTCAAAGCCACGTGTGCTTTTTGAAACATTCCTGCCTGAGAGAGGCCGAACTGATTTCTCCTCGGGCGCCTCGTTGCTCGGGGAGGAGAGCAGGGCGTTTCCTACCCTGCTCTCTGCGGGTCCCTCCGTTAACTGCGCCTGCCCTGGGATGAACGTGCCCATGATGCGGTGTCAGCTCTTCCCAGGTCCTGCCCATCACGCTGGCAGCCCTCCTGGTTTCGTTTTCACGGTGAGGCCGCCCAGGGTGGATGGTGGGGTCGTGCCCTGCTCCAGCTGGCAGAAAGGCAGCAAAGAAGGGGCCGTGCTCGGTGAGCCGTGGGCCCTCCAGGAAGCAGCTCGCGCCGGCCTGTCATCCCGTAAACAGGGCTGTGTGTCACTGCCTTGTGCCAAACCAGCAGCACCCTTCTCAGGGCCCGGGGAGCACCCGCTCCCATGCGTGCATGGCTGCCCTGGGCTTGGCGCGGAGCAGGAGCCAGCAGCAGGGCGTCAGGCCTTGGCTCCCAGTGCCACCCCCTGGTTTGCAAATTGGATCTGGCACGTGCTCACGCGTGCTCCTGAGCGGAGGCTGTGCTGCGGTCCCGCAGCTGTGTGGTGGCAGGGCTTAGGAAGAGGGTGCCGAAATCCTGGCCACCGAAGGGCTTTGGTTCGTGGGCCTCGTCCTGTCTGCAAGCTAAAGCACCGCTGAGGTTTCTGTAGCAAGGGCCCCTTCTTCCTGAGGAGCTCATCTCTCTCCGCTGCTCCAGGAAGCCCCAGCTGCCTGCCCCAGCCGTCCATCAACTTGATCACAAAATTCAATCCCAAAATGCCTGTGCGTGGGGTGGGATGCGGGCACTTCTCAGCATCAAACCTGCCCTCTTGGAGCCTCCCACCAAGAGAGGAGAGCTGAGCCACATCCAGCCTTTCCTCATCCGTTTCGGCTGCCCCCGCTGTTTGCAGCTGGCTCGGATGCTATCATCCCACGGGCAGAATTCCAGGGGGGGCATCACTGCCGATGTCCCATGGGTCCCACGCGGGGGGAGTACTCAGGCTCAAGCTCCATCTGTCACAGGCACGCCAACCCAGCGTGGCAGCACCGGTGTACGGCGACAGGTAAGAAACTGCTGATGTCAACTGTTAAATACAAGTCACTTAACTGTTTTTATTTGTTTTTAAATTAGGACGGAGAAGAAGAATTTAACCGTGCTAAGCTGCTGAATATAGGATTCGCAGAGGCTTTGAAAGAGTATGACTATGATTGCTTTGTGTTTAGTGACGTAGACCTCATCCCAATGGATGACAGGAACACTTACAAATGTTACAGCCAGCCACGGCACCTCTCTGTATCCATGGACAAATTCGGATTTCGGTGAGACGCCTTTTGGAGGGGCATTTTCTTCCTAATACCGCCGTTAGCCCAGCAGGCCAGGCGCAGCCTTCCACATCCCCACCCACCATTGAAAGCCTGGGAAAATGTCTCTGGCAAAAGCCTGTCTTGGCATGCGCGTCCCTGCAGGGAGCGGGTGGCTGCGAGCGGGATCAGCTGGAGGGGAGGAAGGGGGAGAAACGCAGCGGAGTGGTTTATTAAAATTCACAGCTTCTGGAAAGTGAAACGTAGGGCGAGGAAAAACCAAGAGCCCGTCGTTTTGCAGATGCACCTGTATCCCTTCTTGTGTTTCAGGCTGGAAGCTGGAAGACAGCTAGTGTTTCCACCCAGTCTGAAAAGTGAGACACTCTCACACAGTGAGAATTATGTGCAGCTTTAAAAAGACTGCATCAGACACTATTTTAAGAGCAAAACGAAATATTTTTGGCTGTTCAATTTCAGGCCACTGAGGGACCTGCCCTGGTATCTGAAAGCAACACAAAACGATAATGCCTTTCAGCATGGGTTCAACAAGCTGCTGCAAACAAAAATGTGTCTTGCTTTTCCTTTCTTTTTTTTTCTATCCCAAATCCCCATGGGGGAGTTTAAAAACTCATCTATAAAGTCAAAACCAGTCATGACCCTGTGGTGGCCAGTAGTGCTAAAGATACAGCAGCGGTGTTGGTGGCAGGACCCCTGCACACCTCCACTCCAGACCCCGGCCCTGCTCGGAGCGGGACTGTCACGGGCATTGCAGCAGCTGCAGTTTTTTCTTGCAGCCAGGTGAAGCTTAGAGCAGAAATACAGGCCCCAGGGGTTTCTTCTGCTTGCTGAAGCAAAGACAAGGTCTGCGGTAGGTCCTGGTGATCCCTGCGTGGGCCTTCTCCTGGTGCTGTGGGTCTGAATTTTCATCTGTCCCCAACCCCCGGTGTATTGTCCCCAGTTTCGAGCAGGAGCTGGTTGGCTTTGTGCATGCAAGCTCACGCTGCTGGCTCAGTTTTGGGCTGCAAGGGTTTTTTTGGGGCACTGGGGAGCGTGGACGCAAGTGGTGGAGCAGCAGGAAGAGAAGGCTCTGCAGCACCTCCGATGCCTCACTGAGCTCTCAGCACTGCCAGGGCACGTGAGTCACCCATCTGTCCTTTGGCAAGGCGATGTGCATCTGACTGGCCTGTCCTTTGAGGACAGCATACTTTTTGGTGCAAGGCTGCAGCCATTGCCGGTTGCAAAGTTGCCAGCTGTATTTGGGACTGAGCACACCAGCTCCCTCTGCCTCGGCCGAGACCAGGGCAGCAAAACACTGTGCTGCTCCCTGCTGCACGGAGGCAGCTTGCAGTGGGCATGCCCTTTTCAGGTGCACCCACTGCTCCTTGACTAGCATCTCTCCTCTAATGGCTTTTTCTTCTTGCTTTCAGGTTGCCTTACAATCAGTATTTTGGAGGTGTGTCTGCCTTGAGCAAAGAGCAGTTCACAAAGATCAATGGGTTTCCAAACAATTACTGGGGCTGGGGTGGCGAAGATGATGACATTTATAACAGGTAAATAAATACCCCCCGTGGGACCCAGAGTGCCCTGTGAGGTGCTGCTTTTGGCCATGTGTGGCGGGCACAGGGTGTCTTTTCACCCCAAACGCGGGAGTGGGAGCCTCCCCTTGGGTGGGGGATGGAGGTGGCTGCATGGGTGAGCTGCTGGCTCAGAGAAAGCCTGTTCCTGCTGGGTGCTGGCACCCCATTTCACAGTTCCCAGGGTGTGCTGGGGAGTGGGTCTGGCTGGAAAAACTCCGCCCCTGCCCCACACATGCATTGCTCGTTCGCTGCACAGCCTTGCAAGCATCCATGCCGGTGTGTGGGTTGGAGCAGCACACTTCTGGGTGTCCCTGGCCAAAGGGACTGGCCAAAGGAAGGGGATTTGGGACATGCAGCAGGGTGGAGAAGACTTTGACCCACCTAGCCCAGCACAGACCGGGGCTTGCCTGGGTCTGCAGGCTGGTAGTGGACTTCTTTGTTCCCAGCAGAACTTCGTTTATCAGGCTGTAAGCAGCTCTAAATAACGCCGTGAGCTGTCACTTCCTGCTTGGAAGGAAGCTGAGCAAGGCCCAGAACTGCAGGAGAGGAGGAAGGAGTTTGCACAGGGCAGGCTGGGACCACCCCTGCCTGAAGACAGGGTCAGAAGGTGGACGTGGGGCTGTGCTAGCTTATGGCTTCGCGTCCCCAGGGCGGTTGCTCTGAGAAGTCATCATGGGGAGCACAGATTTGGGAATCTCCCCACTTCATGTTTCTCAATGGCAAAACCATTCTGCATGGTCTTTTCTCTGGGCTTCAGGAAGGGTCTTCCTAAAAGTGCTTGTACCTTCCTGAGCTTCAGCACTTCTGTTTAATAACTCAAGCAAGGGACAGCCTTCCAGTGGGGCAGGGCATTCAGAGCAAGGAGGTAGTCTTCTCTTTCTGGGGTGCTCAGGTTTTGAGGCGCAGAAGATGCTGTGTGGAAATGAAGAGGGAGATGCAAAGAGGAAGAAAGCAGGTACTTTTTCAGCATTGGTGCCCACGAACTGCAGGTGCCTTGCAGAGGGCATGCAAAGGCAGGCTGCCCCTCACCCGGCGGCTCCCAGCCAGGACCATTCTGGCTCTGACCGTCTGTCGTCCCCGCCCGTTGCTGCTGCACCACCACTCACTGCAGTTTCTACCAGCGCTGCAGCTTCCACATCCGGAAAATGAGTGCTCTTTTGGCTCCTTCCCAGATGGGTTAAAAACTAAATGCCTCCCATGCAAATTCCAGTCTACAGCCTGAAGCAGTGAGGAGTTAATGTGGGTGTTGGGCCTTGCAGGAGCTGGTGGTACAGGTGGAGGGTGTGGTGAATTTCCGTGTTGGCAGGGGGCATGTCCCTTTTCCCCATGCTGATGTGCCCATGTGGAAAGACACTGGCTTTCCCCCCCCTTTCAGCGTCACCAAGCCTGCAAACGCACTATTGACATCCTCAAAAATAAAAAAAAAAATGGGCAGAACCCCCCAAACCAGTGGTCATTTGTGGAAGGTGTGGCAGAGCATCCCACATCCGTCACCTGTCATGGGTGTGTTTAATGTAACGTAATGTACCTGCTTTTACAGGCTGGTGTTTAAAGGCATGGGGATATCCCGACCGGATGCCATCATTGGGAAGTGCAGAATGCGGCATTCCCGGGACCGCAAGAACGAACCCAACCCCGAGAGGTGCGTCTCCCCGGGTCCCAGAGCAGGTTCAAGGGGTGCCTCCAGCCTTTCCCACTCTGGTTGCTTGCCTTTCTCTTTGCTGTGCAAAAAGCCCGATTGTGGAAAGTCTGCGGCCATCTCTTGCCTTGCCAACCTCTCTGTTGCCTGTGCTGTAAGCTGCCCCCTCCCCCTCGCTGCTTTATTACCTTATTACTGACATTTTCCCCAAGATTTCACTGTGGAATGAATGCCTCTTGCCTTTTTTTTTTTCTTTTTTCCTTTTTCTTAAACGCAGCAAATTAAGCTCCAAGCAATTGTTTCCAGCTTCTCTTTGGCATATAAAACCTGTGCTCTAGTTGCAGAGCTGGAAAAAAGACCTGCATGATTTAAAAGCTTGGCTGCTTTTTCCTGGCTAAAATTTGACCCCATAAGGATGCCTTTGCCCACCGCTCAGGCTGGCCAAATCTGGGAGTTTATAGGACCGGTACTGATACTCAGGTTGTTCTTAAAACACCGGAGATGCCGCCTGAGAGGCTATAAAAATGTCATGCGAAATTCGGGTTGTTTAAACTTTTTTTTTTTTCCCTTTCTTTCTTTGTTGTTTTTTTTTTTCCCCCTCACTTCCGCAGGTTTGACCGAATTGCTCACACACGGGAGACAATGAGCTCTGACGGCTTAAATACACTATCCTACAAGGTGTTAAGAACTGACAAGTACCCTCTGTATACAAAGATCACAGTGGATATTGGCTCGCCGAACAGCTAACATCACAGGCACAAGAGAGACCTTGCCTCCGTGGCCCGGGGCGGCTGGCCTCACTGATGCTTTATATCTGCTGGTTTTATAACAGTTGCAATGAACAACAACAAAAAAAAGGCCTCTTCTGGCATGCCAAAGCGTCTCCAAATTGGTTGGACAAGTGCTTTTTTTGTCTTTTTTTTTTTTTTTTTTTTTTAATTTCCAAACTTGACTTTACACAACTTTCTAGCTCTCCGTTGTTTTATAAGTCCAGAAGCTGTACATAAGAGTTGTAAATATTTACTTTGCCAGAAAATGTTGGATCTGATTTATCTGGTGCAGTACCTCCCTATCTTGAATTAATTGCTGGACCCAAATTTTACTGATTACAACTGTGATGCATCATCAGTTACTGCCCATGATATTTTGATGTTTTAAATGAGGTGGACGAAAACATTCCTTTTAATTCCTGGTTTTACTTTATGAAGGACTATAAAATGCTGCTAAAATTGTACAAGTTTACGCTTTGCGTTATTTTTTTTTTTTAAATGGAGACAATTTTTTTTTTTTTTCCTCATGGTGACCAAAACAAACATCTCTGTGTGCAGGGCAAGTGTTGAACAATCAAGTCTGGATTCAATGAATGTCATTATTTCTTTTGGTCTCAAATGAGGCTTTGAGTGAGTTGAGCCAGAGTTTGCCAGAATTTGCCAGTGAGCCCTGTGCATAGGGTGGGAGCTACACAGGTGGCGTCTGCAAAAACCACTGGCGTCAGGTAACCTTACTTCTGGATGTGGTAGTGGCTTTCTGCCTCAGCACACCACCACCTGTTTTTTTTGCGGGGGCAGAGGGGAATGGTTTGGGTTTTGGTTGGTTTTTTTTTTTTCCTGAAATAAAGATGAATGAATTTAATTGTGTGATGAAATGATGGCCTTAAAATTTGCTGACACTTGTTAACAGTGGTAGAAAGTTACCACGCTATTTAAACATTGTTTGAAGCTTCCTAAAAATTTCTTGCAAGGTCATGCATAAAACTTGAATTCACTTACTGCTTTTGTTGTAACATTTTAATAATGTTTTAAAGTAATTTGTATATCATAAGCAGTATATTTAATACCAGATTAAACTAGGGTGCAGCATAATAGGGTATGATTCAAGGCCTCCTTTATCTTCAGACTAGTAGGCTTTTTATGTGCGTCATTATATATAAGCCATGTATTGTATTTGCTCTGTGTATTTGTCCATGAAATCTCCTGCGGTGCTGAAATATTCACAGCAGGGCTGACATCCAACTGATTTTTCTTTGCCTAAAGCCTGTTGCAATGCATGTCCTCTATCGGGAAACTTCCTTCAGATTTTCTCAGGCTTTGAGGGACATGCACGTTTCGATTACTACTTTTTGTCAGTGCACCAGGGCACCACCTGTACAGACACCCTGCTTTTCCTTCCCGTGACCGTGTGAAAGCCTCAAGCGCTGACACCCTCAGAGCTGGTTTAAGTGACTTAAAGCTTTCAGCTAGAACTGAGAACTGAATTGCTCCTGGGGAGTACTTTGCCACCAGCTCTGACCACTGCAATTTGCACTTCCTTGGCCTGTGCTGAAGGCTGTTGAAATCAGGGACACTCGTTCTGTTGGGGATTATCTTCAGCACTGCCTTTTTTTCTTTTTTCTTTTTTTTTTTTTTTTTTTTTTGTGGGTTGGGTTTTTTGGGGTTAGCTTTTTTTCTGGGGTTTTTTTGTTTGTTTGTTTTGTTTTTGATTTGGGTTGTTTTTTTATTGAGACCTGAAGGTTTTGCTGAACCCTTGCACTGCAGGGGTGGGATCCTGCAGGGGCTGGGGGACAGTGCATTTCTTCTGAGGCCAGCAGTGGCTCAAAGTATGCACGGAGACTTTAATTACTAGGGAGACACCCAGCTGCCTTTTCAGTCTCCCTTTGAAAAAGTGCCCCCCCGACCACCTTTGCTTAAAAGCTGCTGCTGGCCGGACTTGCTGCTTCAGCTGTGCTGGAAGCTGAGCGAAGGTGGGCTTGCATGGAGCAGAAGCGAAGCACGAGGAAGCGGGGTTGTGTTTAAGAGCCACTCTCTTGTGCTTATCGTTGCATTAAAAAAATGACTCCTTTTTGGCAGGCCAGGCTCCAGCTCCTGCAGATACAGAGGGGTACAAGAAGAGGATGTGTTACAGAAGTCAGGTCAGATGTCTGCCTGTAATACTTCGGAGTAGCTGTAGTCTGCACCAGTAATGGAGACACAGGCAAGGACTTTTATTTTTTTTGTTTTTTCAAAGGTGCCTTAGAAGCAGGGCCCTGCTCCCACAGGTGGCAGATCAGCACCAAAACTCGCTGAGGCTCCACTGAAAATCCTGGGTCTCTGCAGAGAGCACCTCGGTTTTGCGGCGAGCCTTTCGTCAGTGGAAGGGTCGGGACCTTCAGCTGCCCTGGTGTCTGTCTGCTAACAGGCTATGCAAAGGGGCTACCTGTTGTAACAGAGTGGTTGGTTTTGTGGGAGTTTGGGTTTTTAATCCTTGCTTTAGGATTCTCTGAAGGTTAGAAAAAAGTGTAACAACTGGTTCCGCTGCACGCTGAGATCATTGAATATCATGGAGGTGGTCTGAGCACTTGTTTCTGGCTGTTGCAGCCAGAGGTTTCTACACGTGTGCCTTGAAAAGAGGAGAAAAATGGAAACTGGAAAACCAGGAAACCTGAAAAACATTTTCAGCAGCGAGACACTAGCGGTGCAAGAGACTGTCGCTTCGTTTCTCTTGTACTGCTAAAGCCACAAGCCATGTAGCTGCCTTTCATTGCTTGTTCCGCCCTTTGGTGCTGACCCGTGATTTCCAGATCTCTTGTCCCTGGGTAAACTGTATCAGTCAAACTCACAAAATGCTCTCGACTCAACCTGGCCATGAAATTTTCTCTTCCTGAGGTTTTTGGGGGCCTTTCCTGCAAACACTCATGTTGCACAGAAGTGTATTCTGGCCATGACCTGTGCTGGGTGGTGGTTTTTTTTTCCTCTCCCGTACTGGTAGAAACATTCAAAGTGATACTGTGTGTAATGGTTGAAACCCGGAACAAATAGCTGCAAAAGAAATGCTAATGCTCAGTTTCTTTGGGATTACTGTTTGCTTGTTAGGATGAGGGAGGGTCCTGGCATGCAGCTTTTCCCTAGGATGTTACTTGTGTATTGGACTGCTTATGGGTTTCCTGTAGATGGTTTTGCTTTTGCATTTTTATCATTTATATATCAACGGATGTATAATCCAATGTTTCTACTTTACTATTGATGTCAAATAAAGTATTTTCAGTTATGACGTCTGGCAGCATTACTCTGAATTACCCCTCCGGATGGGTGGGTTTCTGGCTGATGGGGTGGTCTGGGCCATGCCTTAGCCTCCTTGCATTAATTTTCTCCAGCTTTCCCCCCCTCTCTGGCTTCACCACCCCACCCCTCACTAGCGCATTTTTCTCTCTGCACTGCAAAATTTTTACCGGTGTGAGAGAAACAGATCCGAAAGTCCCCAGATGACGCCAGAAAACTGTAGGGTGGTTCATTTACCTGTGGGTAGGGGGACAGCATGCAAACCCCTCCTGAAACCAGGCAGGGGATGTAAGCCCTCACCCAGGCTGTCGGTTTGGGGGAAAACGGGCCACTACTTACTCCCTAGGTGCTTGTGGCTTTGGCTAGAGTGTGGAAAGGGAGAAGTCATTCCTGGGAAACTGATGCAAATGTTTGCTTGTGTTCCTTGGCACTTTCTCATGAAAACAGTTTCCGTGGAAGAGATCCTTCTGGCTGCCAGACTGTGGCTAAGGCTAGGCAGCTGGTGCAAAGTTCCCTGCGCTCTCCAGGGAGAAGGAAGGCCTATTCCCAGCTGGGACCAGTGGCCAGCTCCCGGGGCCCAGGTTGGCACAGTGGGCAGGACATTCCCAAGCCCCTACAGCTGCTTGGAGGCATGCTCTGAAGACCATGTTGACAGAGGGGCTCTGGAAGAGGGCACCGGCTTCTGCCTGTTTCATCCCCCCAGGGCTGGCTAATAGGGCACTGTTCCATGGAAGTTGCCAGCAGACCAGGGTGCAGCAGAGGGCTTGGACAGGGATGCTGTGGGGGAGGGTAGGTGGTCCCTGTGGCATCTTTTGTTGGCTTTTGAACCCCAAATGCATTGCACAGGAATCATGGGTGTTTTCTTCTCATGGTTCAAAGTTTGGTATCTATGGGCAGAAAAACGGTCCGAGAGGGACCTTCCACTTTCTCCTACTGCTGTCCCCATAGTATTGAGCTGTTCCTCCCTTCTTCTGCTTGGGGGGAGCAAGGAATGGGCAGGAGCCACACAGCTCAGTAGCTGGTAGAAGCCCTGCATGGAAATTTTGTCCCTTGCTGAAAGAAGCAGCTGAGAGGCGTCAGTAGGATTTCACCCTTCTCCCCACTGGTTACCACGGCCTCCCTGGACCAGATCAGTACGTGGCTTGCAAGGGATCCCTTGACTCTTTTTCTGTGAGACCATGCTTGCTCTAGCAGAGCTTCCTTTCCCATCTCCAGCTCCACCTGCCTGCCAGCGGCCAGGATGGGTGAGCAGAGCTCTCTGATGTGTATCCCGGATGTTTACCCTGCTACACCTTCCTCTTCTCCAGCCCATGGGGAAAAAAAAAAAAACAACAAAAAAGAGCCGGTTGTTAGGCAGCAGAAAAGGACTGAGCTGGAGTTTGCTGACCCCTTTCACCCTCTTGGAAAGAGTCTGAAGAGGGTGTGATTGCCCTTTGCTCTTGCTCTGCGTCTTAGCACAGCAGTGCTGACGCTGGATCCATTCCTATTTGCCTATGTCCTGCTTGCAGGATGCCCATGCACTTGAGGACGATGCACCCATATGAAATCTCTGTTTTCTGTCTACCCGAGGTAGCAGCCCCGCTCCCGCAGGCTTTGTTCTGTCTGCTGTGCTCAGTGTTTCTACCAGCAACGCAGATGTTGGTGCACAGAGGCTGGGTCTCTGCAGAGTCAGAGGTGACCAGTGTCCCAAGCCTGCACTAGATCACGCAGCGAAGAGCTGAGTGGGGAAAACAAGGGACTAGGGTTAAGTCCAAAGCCTGGACCTGTGGACCATTCCCAGATACCTTCCTGCCCTTCACATTCTTAAAAATGATCTCCAAGAAGTCTTGCTCCATGATTTCTCCAAGGATGGAGGTATTGCTGGCAGTCTGCTGTTTCCCAGGTCTTTCTCCTTGCCCTTTTTAAAAGGGGGCATAATATTGGTCTTTTCCATCAGCCCTTTCCCAGTTGCCATGACATCCCACCGTGACTGGCAGCAGCTTCATTCACGTCAGCCAGCACTGTTAGCTCCTATGGGTGAGTGCCGTCCACTCCAGCAGATGTATGTCCAGCTTCTCCAAGCAGTCCTTAAACCCCACGTTTGGCCCTCCCATCTCCTTCCCAAACCGTGCAGGTGAATGCAGAGATCTGGGATCAGGCTTTGCCTGTGAAGACGCTACAAAAATCCATTTATCATTGTAGTCTTTTCCGTGTTGTCCAGCACCACACTTTCTCCTCCACCTGTCAGTGGACATGCATTTTCCCCAACTTCTAGCATGCCTGTAGAGTCCTGTCATACTACCCTTGATGACCCTCACTAGTCTGAGATGTAGGTAGTCTTGGACCTGCCTGGTACCACCTCTAAGTATCCAAGCAAGCAATGTTTACTACATTCTTTTGCTCTGTTGTATTTCCCATTCTTACATGCATCTTCTTTTGCATTTTAGTGCAAGAAGCTCCCTTTTTAGCCAAGCAGGACTTTGACTGGAATTTCCTGTCTTCTTGCAGAAGGGAAGCTTGGGAGATTCAGGAAGGACACTGTGAGAAACCCCTTCCCCAGGTGAGTGATGCAGCCCTGGAACAGCGTACTGGGGTAGCAGGGGATCTCCACCCCCAGGATGTTTTGAGGGTCAGTCAAGGGGTTCCGAAGCTGTCTGAGTGATACAGCAACAAACCAGGCCCTCAGGAGCACCAAGCCAGAGCCAGTGAAGCAGGAGGAGAGCGTAGTCCCTGTGCAAAAGGACTCTGCTGCTTTGATGGCCAGCAGCTAGGGCCATAGATACTGCCAGCAAGGCTGGAGAAGCCTGCAGGGCACTGCCAGGGAAAAAGTGTGGAGCCAAACAGTTGCCTGTGCTTTCCAAACCTGCCTTGCACTGTGTTTCAGAAGCCAAAACTTGGCATGGTATTTACCTCTGTGAGCATCTGCCCAGCTACAGGACAGAAAGGGAGGAGCTGTGAAGCTTTCCACGCTTGGGTCCAACTCACCCTAAGCTTGCAAAGCGATGCTGAGCCCACATCTGGCAGCATTTCTTCCAGGCGTCTGTGGAGGTGCTGGCTGCTGGCACGTAGGACATTGCAGTAAGAGCTCACCGACTGGTTTTGTTTTTTTTTTCACACCCTCCGACTTTCTCTTGAGAGGGAAAGAAAAAGCTTGGTCAAAAAAATGCAAAACATTGGCAGACTCCCATGTGAAACAGAGACAGGCTGAAAAGTAATCCCTCCAGCAGCACCCCACCTATCAAATGCCCCAGTTTCCCTTTTCCAAACCACAGTGTGGAACAGAAAGGAATCTCATTTGAAACAAAATATATATATATAAAAAAAAAAGTAATCATCACCATATCTCTTTCCCATGGGATTTAGTGGCTGCTGTAAGGGAAATGCACTGCTGAGTCCTCACAGAGAAGAGCAGTGCTGATGAAGGGGGTCTGGGGTCAGAGCATCACTCCGGGAGCAGGATGTGCTCCGGCAGCCCAGGGGAAGATGTCTCTGCAGCATAACTATTGTTCTCCCCGTTTCCAGAAATACTCTCGGAGACAGTGGGCCCAGTGAAGAGGGTGACGTGCCAGATGAGATCAGCACTGGAGAAAATCAGCTCTGAAGGGAAAAGATCTTATTTTTCTGTAGGTGGTCCAATTTCTTTGCCTTTCCGACTGCGGTACCACTGGGTCAGGTGTGTTCTGACAGGGGCGGCAGTGCCAAGCTCAGCCCAGGCGCTGGGGCCCGCATGCAGTTCATGCATCCACCCACTAAGCTTCAATGCCTGGGACATGCCGGAGGCAAGGCAGTGCAAAGGCCGTGTGAGGACATCGGTGGCACAGGTGAGATGGGGTGTGGAGGAGAAACATGTCCACAGGTGCAGTTGTGCTCACAGAATGCCTGAGTTTTTCCCGTTTCAGGTAGAAAACACTGACTCTCTGCCTGTGTGTGTACAACTCACTTCTTCACCCAGCTGCTAAAAGTTTGCACCATGTGTTTCCCAGCTCTGGGCAGTTTTCCAAAGTTTGGTCTAAGCAGGAGTCTTACTATGGGGCACAGAGCTGAGGGGACAGGTAGGGTGTCTCTGGAGCAATAGGAAGGGGAAGACCACAGCTTCCACCTCACCTGGACAAACCCCCGAGTGACCTAATGTGAGTTCAGATTTACGCTGGCTTTGAGCAAAGGGATTGAGCAAGAGCCCTCTGGACACCTTTCCCTGCCTAAATCATTCTAAACCACCATCATTCCCTTAGAAAGCACAGTTGCTGAGGCAGTGATTGAGTGTGGTTTGGATACCTCTAACCTGCAGGAACATTGTGGTACTTCTCACCAGGAATCCAATAGAAACAAGGTCCCAACATGCCTCGTTGATATAACGAGGATTGCCCAGATAACATGAGAAACATGTGTGGAAATGGGGATTTCTCAGGGAGGTCCACCTAGCAGCCCTCAAAGCTGTGATCTCGCTGAAATGAGAATTTCTGGTGGACAAGAAGCCAGGCGATTGCAGAGGTGGTGTGAAATCGGTGAGGGTACAAACCTGTAACGTGTACAGGGAAGCTGAACATCAACAGTCAGTGGTGGCAGCTGCAAACTGCAGGGCTGCACCCAGGTGGCGTGGAACTCTACCTGGGCATTTGCCCTCTGCAAAATTAGCTGCCTCGAAAACCAGCATGTCTAAAACACTGCCACTGGCCCGCCTTTGAGGCATTTTGCTAAGGAGTGCTGTGTCCCACAGGTGAGAGATTATAACGCTGCCCAAAATCATGATTAGACACATTGATACGTAATACAGCTTCCCTGAGGACTGGAGCATTAGTTAGGAGAAATGTGCACAAAACCCCATGCTCAGACACACTCACAGCACCATGCACCACCCAGGCACTGACACTGGCAGCTCAAAAGGACTTTGCCAGGGTTTGCAACCAGGCAGATGGTGAGAATCTCCATCTTTGGAGATGTTCAAATGCCATCTGGACATGGTCCTGAGTGACTGGCTCTAGGTGGCCTTGCTTGAGCAGGGGGGTTGGACCA